CTGACAGACGGACTTCAATCTCTGAACTCTTAAAGTTCTTCTTTTTAGTTTTCGCTGTCATTTTCATGAAGGGACACTTATCTGAGGCAGGAAACATAGCCTTATATGGTGTATTTGGGGTGGTAATTATGCTAATCTCCTCTCGCGTGCACATGCAGCTGGATACGAACAGGTGGAATTTACGCAGCTCATTTACACACTTTTCATGAAGATAGAAGAGTTTGTTGAATCTGACATGGCATGTTTGTACGAACCCTTTGTACAAACAGAAGTAAGAGAAATTTAGGATAAGAATATGAACATGTTTTTGCATGAGGCCCAATGTTTCATGATTATCAAAATGCGTAAAACTCTTAGTTAAGAAAATAAATCAAACTAATTATCTGCTTAAGAAAAATAGAATGTCTCTTTAAAGTTAAGGTGACCTGTTGTGACCCAATTTCAGGTTCAACTGGAACAGAGTTCTGTCTCTTTACAGGGCCCATCGGAGGCCTGATGTCATGACAGTTTTCTTGATTATTTCACTCGAGGTGACCCTTACACAATGTTATACAGGTGTCACAGGTTTTAAACAGTAAATGATTTCAAGCTTCTAGACAGTGACATTAACTTTAAGTTTCATGACTGGTGCAATTAGGAATGAATAAATGAAGGAAGAGACAATGTTTGGAGTACAGACAGAAACACAATACGGTTTTGGTTAACACTAGCTGTACCTCAGTTGATCTCATTCTTAATCTTATGTGTYCTTCTCCCTCCCAAAATGAATCTCAACATTTTCAGCTCTGCCACTTCCAATTYTGTTTCTTTTCTTTTTTCATTGTCTCCAAACCTTACAACATAGGTGGTCTCGCCACTCCCTTGTAAACCTTTCTTTTCACCTTTGACACCACCCTTTTGTCATAAATCATTCCTAAAACTTTTCCTTTCCATTGACTCCATCCTGCTTGGATTCTTTTTGTCACCTCTTTATCACACTTCCCAGTTTCCTGGACAGTGGACTCAAAAGTACTTGAAGTCCAGCACCGTTTGGACCTCTGCTCCTTGTAGCCTCACTATTCCACCTCCTCTCTCTTTCACACACGTGCTCTGTTTTTCTACAGCTGACTTTTTTTTTTTTCATTTTTTAAGTGCAAAGTCAAAGGCCTCACTGCTGTCTCTCCTAGAAATTTCCATATCTCCACTGCTATGTCATCAGGTCCTGCTGCCTTCCCCTTCTMCTTCTTCAAAGCTTTTCGAACATCATCCTCACTCATTTTTTCCACTTCCAGGACCACAGTTTTTATGACCTCTCCTCATCTTTCCCTTTCATTCTATACATGTTTTTGCTCCTCAAAGTGCTTCTTTAAATAAACCTCTCTGTACTTGTTAGAACATCACCATTTCTGTCTTTAACAAGCCTCACCCACTGCACATCCTATCCAGAYTGATCCATCTGTCTTGCCAGTCGATACAAGTTCTTCTCTCTTTCTTTAATGTCCAGTCTCTTGTACAACACATCATACACCTGTTTTGTCTTTACTGACTTCCTCTTTACATCTCCTTAAGACCTCAACATACTACATCTGAAGCCAAACAGTCAACTCATGGTCATGTGGTTGTTTGGTATTTGTTTTTGCACACACCTTCCATAGCCCCTGAGACACATCGTGCAGAGCTCCTGGGAAACTCCCCCCTTTGCTGTATACGCCACTACATAGGGTTTTTTTCCTGTTGGAGTCTACAATGTGGAAAAGATTAAATCTGAGACCCGACATCCGATGTTATTTGTCCACAAATCTGTCCCAGTTAAAGTTCCACAGTTTTTGATCAAACAGATCTTCCGTGCACAACGATTTTTCTCCATCCATGAGTTTCTCATCAAGTCTGCTTCTAGATAGCCTACAACAGTCAGTTTCTGGACGCGAGTAGTTTTTTCTTTCTTTCTTTTTTTAGAAACAAGTGGTTGAAGCAAAATGAAGCAAACGTCTGAGTGCTTTCAGCATGAACAAACACTCCAATGAACTTCTGACCAATCGCACAAAAAGTTTTTATGTGGAGGGGGTTAAATTTTTCTGCTCTTAGGTTGTGA